GGAGGGAAGGCTTAGCTAAGGCATGAACAGGTAGGCAAGGGTTAACCAAGGCAGGTTCAGGCAGGCAAGGATTAACCAAGGCAAGAACAGGCAGGCAAGGGTTAACCAAGGCAGGAACATGCAGGCATGTGTTGATCAGGGGAGGAACAGGCAAGCAAGGGTTAACCAAGGCTGATTCATCCAGGCAAGGGTTAACCAAGGATTCCAGGCAGATTCAGGCAGACAGAATGGTACCCAGACAGGTGCATATAATCAGGGGAAGGAGGATGGAGCATGCCTGCCAGAGGGGAGGCAGGACTTGCACCTTACTTCCCCTGCACACTGCAACCCACTTGGAGTAGCTGCAGGGGCCAGCGGGGAAAGAGCCAGTGCAGTTCTCCTTGTACCTGCAGCACACTGATGAAGAATCAGGGAGTGTGCTGGCGGCCGGCAGGAGTTTTCAGTATGTTCCCCACTCCCAAGATACCAAGGTCCACGTGGCACCCGATAATGAGCGCTTTACGCGCCATGAACCATTCAACCCAAATTCAGGTGAATTGCAATTTGAAATAAAACAAATCTCCAAGTCTAATTATAACCAACAAAAATAAATCAGCCTTAGCTTAATGTCAGGGTATCTAACTCATACCGACATCTTTTTTCCACTTGATGTGATCCTGTGCATCATTCTGTTCAATTGGGACATGGGACACAATCCAGCATCACAGAAATTATGCATAATTTCAGTGTTAAGAATAATACGGAATGTACCTTCCCTAGCAGTTTATGTATCGAAAATGATGCAGGCATGGTATCATTCTGGAGTCACCATTTTATGATTTGATGTTTGCTGTCATTCTGATGAGGTAAGACATTAGGGCTGTTTATACTTGCACCAAAATGAGATCAATTCCCTGTCATGGTCTCTAGTAGTCCATGTGTGCATTTTGATTATTATTTGCTTTTCTGTTTATTGACCTTGGTGCGTATCTTGACCATTCCGGTCCTGAACTTGGCTTGTTTACTTATCCTGTAATTATTTTTACCCTTGGTTTGCTTTTCAGTCACTTTGTATCTGTTTTTTTATATTAAGCCCTGCCCAGACTGTTAATACATACTTTTCCTTGTGCTGTCCTAGATTTACGTGTACTCTGTATTTTTCTGTCACTTAATTCATTTCGCTAGACTCCTGGCGTTCTTAGTGGCAACAATTATATTTTAGCTCATGGCAATGTATGCTGCATATAAAGTTAAAGATATATTATTTATAAAATAGGAAAACTAATACCAAGGAAAAAATAAAAGGTATAACCCAATTTTAACCAGAGTTCATAATATATTGAGATAACATAGAAACACAGAACGTGATGCCGATAAGAACCATTCGGCCCAATAGTCTGCCCAATATTCTAAATTCTTTCATTAGGCCCTGTCCTTATCTTATATCTAGGATAGCTGCATGCCTATTGCACGCATGTTTAAAATTCATTACTGTGTTAAACTCTACCTCTTCAGCTGGAAGGCTATTCCATGCAACAAAGTAAAGTAATACTTCCTGATATTATTTTTAAATTAAACTTTTGCCCCTATAATTTAAGACTATATCCTCTTGTTATGGTAGTTTTCATTCTTATAAATGTAGTCTCCTTCTTTACTACGTTGATTCCCTTTATATATTTAAATGTTTCTATTATATTCCTTCATCTCGTCTTTCCTCCAAGCTATATGTAACGCAGCTCCCTGTACCCCTGGCTGTGTACCTCCGCCAAGGACCGCTTCCTAGCTTGATTATGGGACAAACCGCAACACTTCTGCCCACAGTCGCTGTGGCTTGACTGGCATCCTGGAACCGCTCCCTCCTGGAGCCGAATGGGGAACTCGCTCTATCCACCCCCAGGCACTCAATGACACTCAGTCCTGGGAGCTCTAGTTATCACAAGGACTTTCCCTGCTGAATCCTTCCCACTGGAACAGTGATTAGTGATTAGCCATTTCCCCTCCCAGTAACAAGACGATACATAGTTCTGGGAGTACAAGCTGGAATGTTTTCATCTGGCCAGATAGTCTGCTTTTATAGAATTTAAACATAGTCAAACACTCAAAAAAGCTAAAGGGTATTCAGAGCTAAGCATAACTGGAACAGTCCAAATGGCAGCTAAATCACCAGAGTCAGGTTCTCTCGTCCCATCCACAAACAGATAAAAGTACAAGTACAAACAGATAAAAGTACATAGAGTGTCCTTAAATATATATAAATGCAGGGGGGGGGGGGATAAAAGAAAAAATATAGTATGTCACTGTCTAAATACATAGAATAAAACAAAAGAAACACACTCACAATTTCCTGGAACTCAAATTGTAGCTCCAACTTGAACGTCTAGGCGGAACAATCCCAGCCTATGGATAAAGTGTGGTTCTTGGTGGTTGTGGTCACTCAAATGGTGGAAACATGAGCAGCTCTGCATATATGGGCTTAGGATAGTGTAGTGCCCACTTGTAAGTATAGATGGTGGTCTTTTCCCTCCAGAAATATAGGATAAAAGGAAAAAAAACTATATAGTGTGTTTGTCACACTATACATGTTAAACTCCTTTAACCTTTCCTGGTAAGTTTTACCTTGCAATCCATGAACCAGTTTAATAGCTCTTCTCTGAAATCTCCAAAGTATCAATATCATTATGGAGATACGGTCTCCAGTACTGTGTACAATACTCCAGTTCTCACCAATGCTTTGTACAATGGCATGTGCCCTTCCCTCTTTCTACTGCTAATATCTCGACCTTTACAACCATTCTGCTAGCAGTTCCTGCTGCTCTATTACATTGTCTACCTACCTTTAAGTCTTCTGAAATAATTACCTAAATCCCTTTCCTCAGATGTTGAGGTTAATACTGTATTAAATATTCTATACTCTGCCCTTGGGTTTTTATTCTATACTCTGCCCGGGAGGAGAGCGCCAATTGCAGTGTGCGGAGCTGCAGACCGGCAGCCAGATACGTGGACCGGCAGCCATGGCCACAGGACCACCAGGGAGCCCACCAGACCACCAGGGAGCCCACCAGACCACCAGGGAGAGAAACAAGATATTTAATCACCCCCTCCCTCCCAGTATTCCCCCCACCTTAGCATTAACCCTCTTCCTCCCAGTATTCCCCCCAGCATTAACCCTCTGCATACCAGACTCCCACCTTAGGTAAGCCTCACAGTATCAACCCACTGTCCCACACACTCAGAGGCGTTTTAGCCATGAGGCAAACAAGGCATTTGCCTTGGGCGGCATTTTCCAGGGGACAGCAAAAAAGCCACCCCCCAAATGCCCCGGGCAAATGCCTTGTTAGCCTCGCGGCTAACTGACATGGGCGGGTGTCTGGCGAGGGAGCACTTCCTCTGAGCGGTCTGCTCGGCTCCCTCGCGCGCCGCAGAGTGAGGCAGGGAGCCAGGTTGATGACGTCATATTCCGGCTCCCAGCCTCACTCTGCAGCCGCGAGGGAGCTGAGCAGACCGCTCAGAGGAAGTGCTCCCTCGCCAGCCCCTTGCCCGCCCGCCCGCCCGCCCAGCAGCCACTGGACCCCCAGGGAGATAGAGAACCCCTTCCCCCCAGCACTCCCCAAAAAAAGTGTTAATGTGAGTGAGTGTGTGTATGTCTGTTAGTGTGTGTGAATGTGTCTGTTAGTGTGTGTGGCGAAACCAACCTCGCCACTGGGCATTGGAGAAGACTGATTGCCAGCCTCCTGCCATGTGACTATGGCCCCTGGGATGTATTGCCCTTTAAAGACATGATTTGGGCATAATGGATTTGTGTTGTGCTGCTGCTGGCCCTTTACAAACTATCTGGGGACATACTGTGGAGTTACTGGGTGGCCACCATTTCCTGTATCAGAAGCACATGGTGAGAACAATGGATGGTGGCCATTTTAACTCACAGACACTGTTTGGACTTTTCAACACTGTGCCATCTCGCCAGTATTTGGTGCACAGAGACATCGTGCAGTGGTTTTGGACTATACAGCAGGGGAGACATTATACAGTCATTGTTTTTTATTTAGCCTGTATATGTTCTGCATAATCTGCATTAAACTGTATTTTATGGGGTTATTGCATGTTTTGGGGTCCCTGTGATGTGTTTTATGAAACTGTATTTCTCTGTCTGTGATAATTAGATTACCCATTGTGTTCAGTAATCATATCACAGGCAGAGGGGAGGATTTTGTGTGGGAGTGTCTGTGTGTATTGTACAGATTGATTGGTTGTTCTGTAAAACCCTGTGGGCAGTACTAAGTTTGTGGATTGGGAATAAAAGAGGCTGTATGTGCCAGTACAGTTAGTTCCTGTTTTAACCCTCAAAGTGAAGTGTCGTCTCATTATTGGGGGAAGGATTCATTGTATGCTGTTCCAGTTTGACTGCTAGGAGAGTAAACCTATTCATATGGTTCCTATTCAACTGTCTACAGCATTCATATGCTAGGAAGTACTCATATGCTTCTTCTGTTCGGTGATTGTGGTGTCTGCCAGAGTGCTTGGAGTCCTCAGGAAACGCTAGGAGCATCCTTTAACGGAGGTAGCCAGTCGGGGTGCCAGGTGATCCGTTACAGTGTGTGTGTCTGTTAGTGTGTGTGAGTGTGTCTGTTAGTGTGTATGTGTCTGTTAGTGTGTATGTCTCTTAGTGTGTGTGAGTGTGTCTGTTAGTGTGAGTGTGTCTGTTAGTGTGTGTGTGTGTGTGTGTGTGTGTGTGTGTGTGTGTGTGTGTGTGTGTGTGTGTGTGTGTGTGTGTGTGTGTGTGTGTGTGTGTGTGTTAGTGTGTGTGTGTGTGTGTGTGTGTCTGTTAGTGTGTATGTCTCTTAGTGTGTGTGAGTGTGTCTGTTAGTATGTGTGTGTCTGTTAGTGTGTATGTCTGTTAGTGTGTGTGTGTGTGTGTGTCTGTTAGTGTGTGTGTGTCTGTTAGTGAGTGTTTCTGTTAGTTAGTGTGTGTGTGTCTGACTGTTAGTGTGAGTGTGTATGTCAGTGAGTGTGTGTGTCTACTAGTGTGTGTCTGCTAGTGTGTGTCTGCTAGTGAGTGTGTGTCTGTTAGTGAGTGTCTGTTAGTGAGTGTGTGCTTGCCTGTGAGTGTGTGTGTGTTTCAGTGAGTGTGTGTGTCTGTGAGTGAGTGAGTGTGTTTGTTTGTGTGTGTGTGTGTGTCTGACTGTGTGTGTATGTTTGCCTATGAGTGTGTCAGCGAGTGTGTGTGTCTGCTAGTGAGTGAGTGTGTGTCAGTGAGTGTGTGTTTCTGTTAGCTAGTGTATGCGTATCTGTCAGTGAATGTGTGTGTGTATTTAGAAGGCGGGGCGGGGGAAAGGGATGGGTGGCGGTCGCGCGCATGGGGGAGGATTGGGAGCGCCTGGGTTTTGTCCTGCCTAGGGAAGCACAAAACCAGGATACACCACTGCACACACTATAACCCCCCCCTCTCACACAATATCAACCCCCTTCTCTCACAGTATCACCCCACTCACACACACTGTCACCTTCCCTCACACATACTGTCATGCCCCCACACACTGTCAGCCTTCCCACACACACCGTCAACTTGCCTTCACACTGTCATCCCCCCCACACTGTCAGCCACATTAAGCATCCACTCTCACATTAACCACTCCTAATCTTGTTAATCTCACCCCGTCCAAACTCATCTGCCCTTGCTCTGCCACACTCATCCTGTCAAATTAACCCCCCTAATTCTGTCACACTCACCTTCTCTCACTCTTTCACACTTTCCCCCCAACCCTGCCACACTTCTCCTGTCACATTAATGTCTCTAATCCTGTCACATAAAATGCAATCCTATTTTTTTCTCACTTTTGGTGGTAGTGGAACCTTATGTCTGAGCTTTGGCTAAGGCCTCAAAGTCAAGAGCCACCTCTGCCCATAACTAGTTGGATTTGTAAGCCACAGATGTGTTTATATTTTTATTTAGCCCTACTATGTGGGTCATCTGATTGTTTTAATAGCTACAATCAGTTTCACTCCTTAAAAATTTCAATTCTGGATCCTGTACATTTTACCTTATGCTGTATGTATTTGTTTGGTGAATGCATGCTGTTTTTGTAATAAATATTGTTGTTGCTAGCATATTAAAGAATATGTAGTCTTGGTTAAAGAATATGGAGTGATGATGTGGGTTCAGGATATTAAGTTATATGATTTGTGGCAGACTGCATGTATTTTATAATATGTTGCATGATATTCTGTTGATATTGTTTTGATTATAGTGTTAACATTAATTTAAAATTTGTTGTGGCGTAAATGTGGAATCCTGTCACACACCTTTGGTCACTGATGATTTTAAACAGAGCCCTGTCTGAGATATGTCTCTTGTGTGAATTAATATTACCTTCAATTTGACTACTTCTAGGTTGCTTACATTAAACCTTTTTTGTTGTTGTACATCTCTGCATGTTTTTCCTTTTTACTAATCAAATTTGTCATTTGCAAATATATATAAATGCAAAATATACCTGTAGGTAAATGAAAATATAAATCAATTTTATTATGAAATCTTAGAACAAAAATATAATCTTAACATCTCATCAGGAGATAAACCACTTAAAAAAAATATATTTTTTTTATCAGTTATGTATTTTGTACAAACAATGTCTTATTCTAGACTACTGCTTTTGTAAATTAAAGAAGCTGGAAGCATCAAATAAATGCACGAAGCACTCAAAGAATAAGAAATATATACAAATAAGAAATAAAAGCATTGCAGCAGATTAATTATATCCAAGAATGGGGTACACTGATGTTGTGGCAGACTTATGCAATATATGATCATATAATATAAATAAACCCGCATAATTTTTTGCCTAGGTGAGGTGTTTTTAAATAAAACTATTACAATCTCTAAGATTTGAAATCATTGTTTAGTGAATAAGCGAGTGTGCTGGATTTTGTATATATTGGAAGGCTTGGCCTGAAGTTGTGGGAAGGACTTATGGACCTTTAAAAGGGACTTTCTGGCTACTACAAAGCTCGTCCTCAGAATAGAAGGGACCATAGTACTGGAAAGACCAAGTGTCTGATATGCTGGATTCTAACTTCAATCTTGTAAATGCAATCTAAAATAAAGCCTTTCTTCATGACTTTACTGGTGCACTATGTTTGTATCTTAATCTTTTCATTAACCCTTTAAGACCGCAGGGCGTTCTATGCCGTCCCTATTTTGATGGCTCTAAACGCCGCAGGGCGGCATAGAACGCCCTGAGATCTTACGCCGGCGATCGCAGTATGGGTACTTACCTGGGAGCCCAGGGAGTCCCCCTCTGTTCTCTTCGGCCCCCCTCGGACATGTGATCGCAAGCTCCTTGCGAGGACCTCACAATCACATGGACGGCATAGCCGTCCAAGACATTGCCAGCAGGGGGAGTGCCTGTAATGACAGGTACTCCCCCTGCTGTCTAGAAATAAAATTAAAACCATTAAAACAGTGTAAAAATAAATAATAAATACTTATTTATTATATATATGATCTAAGTATATATATACACATATACACACATACACATAAATATACATACACTGTCTAAGTGTATTTTAATATTAATATATACATAATTTTATATATATATATATATATATTAATATCAAAATACACTTACAATGATATTGACTAAATATATGTATAATTTTCATTATATATATATATATATATATATTTAATAAAAAATAAATAAACATGTAAATATGTAAAAAAATTCAATAATAATAAAAAAATATATATACATGTGTAATTTCGTTCTAACTGTATTTTAAAATGAATATATATTGATATCAAAATACATGTAGCACGAAATAATATATATATATATCTATATACATAAGTATATACAAATCCCTAGAGGATTCAGAATAATGAATGTTCCAACAATAGGCAGACATAAATCACAAGTCTGCAGAGAATGGACACAGGTGCTAAACAGAGCTTCCCTCAACTTAATGTTGATTGTGATTAAGGATGTCAGGTCAGACTTAACAGAAGTACGTCAAAAGATATTGGATATAGAAACACAACATGCACTTTTATTGAATACAACTGAAGGCATTAAATTACAACAAAATTTAAAGGAAGAGGTTGCTAAATACCAAAATGAATTAATTAAATTCAAAAAGCAGAAATTGGAACGTGTGCAACAGGATTATCGAGAACATACTGTATATAAATGGCTTTCAGGGGGTCAACAAAGACAGAGACGCCCAAGAAAACGCATAATAAGACCGAAGGTCCCTACAGTAGACATTACTTCTGGCGAGTCTGTTTCAGACAATGAATTTTTCAGACAACCACAAAAAGTTTTTTTAGAAACCACAGGGGGAGCCACTATAACACGCAGTCGATCAAAAAGCCAAGACGAGGTCACATCAGGAGAGGACAAGGTGGTAAGACCTTTGGGCAATCGCACAAAACCTCAAGGAAGTAATGCCCATTTTCAATTTATCAGAGAGAGTGCTAACACCTAAAGAAGACCAAATTCTTAGTAGGGGTCTTTCTTTTGTTCCAACCACCAAACCACATTTATTTAAATGGAATATAGAGATGTTTCGCTTTGGAAGAAATTTATGTTTAAAAGAATATTATGCTAAAAAATCTGCCCAACCTATTCTAATAGGGGGCCAGCAACAGGGAATCTTAAGACCTAAATCAACGTTTGATCCAATTACCAATAATCCAACTTTAAAAACATACATCTCCACAGTGATGAATGAATCTCGAACGCCAGCAGAATGTTTGTATAATAAGTACCCCAAAATACCGGTCATCTACACTATTCCCAAACTGCATAAGGATCCAACACACCCCCCTGGGAGACCGATTGTCTCGGCAGTGGGGGGGGTGTTGGAACCTATAGCTAAGTGGCTCGATAAATTATTCAAACAACCAGCCTCTGATTTGGAAACATGTATCAAGGATACCCCTACATTAATTAAGAAATTAACATCAATACAGATGAAAGACAAGAAGGTGGTACTAATGACCATGGATGTCAGAAGTCTATACACTGTAATCCCCCATATAAAGGGGATAGAAGCAATGAGACAAGTCCTTACACACTCGAAGTCTTATAAAGGGCCATGTATAGAATACACCCTTCAAATGTTGGAACTAGCATTATCTAACAATTACTTCAGATTTGAAGAAGACTGGTTTTTACAGATTGCTGGAACGTCAATGGGGGCGGCAATGGCCCCCCATGTACGCGAATGTATACATGTATATTTTTGAAACAACATATATACTTCCAATTTATGGAGATAAAATTATGAATTTTTTCAGATTTATCGATGACCTATTAGTAATTTGGACTGGCACAGTACAAGAAGCGCAACAGATGGTAGATAATTTGAATGAATTAGACAGTCCAATTAGATTTACGTCAGAAATAAGTACTAACAAGGTACACTTTCTGGATCTACAGATTTGGACTGAAAACAATAGTCTTCAGTATTCTTTATATACCAAACCAACTGACCGGCATACACTCCTTCATGCACGAAGTGCGCACCCGGAACAGTTAAAGGCGTCATTACCTAAAGCACAATTCTTAAGAACCATACGTAATAACTCTTCTAATGAAAGGTGGGAAGAACAATTAGTAGAAATGAAAGATAAATTCCTGTCCAGGGGATATAAAAAGTGAGATCTTGAATCTATAACTTTTGCTAGCACTATATTTAACCCTATAACTTTCCAAGACACCATAAAACCTGTACATGGGGGTACTGTTTTACTCAGAAGACTTCGCTGAACACAAATATTAGTGTTTCAAAACAGTAAAATGTATTACAATGACAATATCGTCAGTGACAGTGAAATTTTTGAATTTTTCACACACAAATGGCACTTACACTGACTATATAATTGTTGTGATATGTTTTACTGTTTTGAACTAATATTTGTGTTCAGCAAAGTCTCCCGAGTATAACAGTACCCCTCATGTACAGGTTTTATGGTGTTTTCAAAAGTAAAATAGTCAAATATAAGGCTTGCGTTTCAGTTTTTTCACATTAAAATTCACCAGGTTGGTTATGTTACCTTTAAGACCGTACGGTAGCCCAGGAATGAAAATTATCCCCATGATGGCATACCATTTGCAATAGTAGATAACCCAGGGTATTGCAAATGGGGTATGTTCAGTCTTTTTTAGTAGCCACTTAGTCACAAACACTGACCAAAATTGGTGTTCAAATTTGTTTTTTGCATTTTCAAATATTAACACTAACTTTGGCCAGTATTTGTGACCAAGTGGCTACGAAAAAAGACTGGACATACCCCATTTGCAATACCTTGGAT